AATACCATCGACGGTGCCATACAATTATCAATGCCAATGTATACGAATGCCAATACCAATACCAATACCAATACCAATACCAATACCAATACCAATACCAATACCAATATCAATACAAATTCAATTCCAATAACATTACAAATACTAATACAAATATAAATAAAAATACTAATGTCAATACCAATACCAATACCATTATCAATATCATTATCAATACCATTATCAATACCATTATCATTATCATTATCATTACCATTACTATGACCATTACCATTACTATTACCATTACCATTATCATTACTGTTACCATTGCCATTACCATCACCAATACTAATATCATTAGCATTACCATTACCATTATCATTACCATTACCATTACCAATACTAACATCAATATCAGGATCAATATCAATATTATAGGACCAATATCAATATTGATACCAATATCAATCATTACCATTACCATTACCTTTACAATTACCATTACCATTACCATTACTAATACTAATAGTAATATACTAATATTAAGACTAATATGATAATAATACTATAACTATAAGTAATTCTAATGATAATCCTAATCATAATAATAACATTAATCATAATCCTAACAACAATACTAATACTAACCCTAATTGTAATCCTAATACTAAGTTCAATCATAATTTTGATCCTAATCATAATCCTAATCCTAATGGTAATGCAAATATTAATTCTAATATTAATTCTAATTATAATCCTAATTCTAATATTAATATGAATCATAACTCTAATCATTATAGAAATGCAAATATGCTAATGCTAACACTAATTTTAATACTCTTCCTAATATGCTAATGCTAAGGGCAATGCTAATGTTAATGCTAATTTTCAATAATAATTCTAATCATAATGCTAATACTAATATGGAGCATAATCATAATGCTAATATTCATACTAATATGCATATTGATATTCATACTAATATTAATTGTAATATGCTAACGGTAATGCTAATGCTAATGATAATCTTAATCCTAATGCTAATACAAATATTAGTATTAATAATAATACTAAACTAATACTTATATGCTAATTCTAATGTCAATACTAATGCTAATCCTAATATACTAATGCTAATGTTAATTCTAATATACTAATTCTAATCTTAATATACTAATGCTAATTATAATTCTAATTCTACTGCTTCTGCTTATGGTAATGCTACTACTAATACTGATGCAACTCACATAATGATACTAATATAATTATGACCGAAAATGAAGGGTAAATAAAAAGTAATTATATGGAAATTATTAAACAAAAAATCATTACAAAAACAATAATAAACCATCTACCAATTATTACCAATAATAGAATTTTCTACCCCTTTAGATTTTGGAATAATCTAAGAAACTATAAAAAAGTATAGTTGAAAACATTATTGATTTAGTTTGATGGGAGTAATTTGAATTAAGATTATGAGGAGTAATTAAAATTAGGCCATAAAGCTATCCAAAATTTTAGTAATTAATTTCATATATAAAAACGAATTGCATAAAATTAGGGGATATGTATCCAACTAATAAAAATTTATAGCGATGAAACATACGTAGTGCCAAAAGTTGAAAAATGCGTACTAAAAAAAGTTTTACTTGATGTTTTAATATTTTATTTAAATTAAGCTTGAAAGTGGATCTAATTTTATAAAATATCGGACCCTACAACTATAAATCCCATTTCAATAAAAAACATTAAAATTTAAAAGAAACGTGAGAAATATTAATGATATGTATTTGGATCGAGTGCATGTTGAGGAAAAAAAATGGAACAAAAGAAGGTGGAGGTTCGAGTGCTGAAAATTACATATAATTATTAACACTGAAAGACAATTACATATGATACTTGAAGTAGATCATCATATGAAGTAGTTGGATCAAGTGCTGCAAATTATATATAAATATTAAAACGGAAACATAATTGGATATGATAATATGAAGTAGTTGGATCGAGTGTTGAAAATCACATTGTAGTGGGAGATTATATAGCATGAATTATTACGTAATTTTGGAAATATTTTAAAATTTCAAAATTTGAATTCGAAAATAAGTGACAATCTAAAATTTTGAAATCATTGATTATATAATGAAATGATTTGATTTGATTTGAATTGATTTGGAAATAGTTAATCATGACAGTTAATAAATATGTACTAAGTTAATTTGAAAATAATTAATTTTGATTGACAACTAATTGAGCCACCTAATCCGAGAAAAGTTAAGCCATACAAAAAGACATAATTTATATTATTTTATGATGCATATAATATAGGAAAAAAATATAGTTATGAAAAAATGTAAAAATTGTCATTATTTGATATATACACATAATTTGGAACAAAAAATAAAAAAACAAATTTGATTTAAATGAATCATATCTTAAAATAGAGATAATTGAATATATATATATATATATATATATATATATATATATATATATATATATATATATATATATATATATATATAATATTATTATTTTGTTTTTTGAAAAAGAAAAATACTCATATGGAAATCTTATCTATTGCAAAAAAATAATATTATATATTTTTTCAGAAAAAAAAAAGAAAGAATATTTTTTATTGTACATTATTGTATTTTATTAATATATGATTATATTTTATGAAATGAAATAATAACAATATTTATAAGTTGTATTTTAAAAAAATATAATTTATTGAATGCATATCCCGATATTCTATAATTACGAAAATTAAAAAAATATATTTATATTTAATTATTAAAATTAGTCGATTATTACAATGAAAAAAAAAATCGTAAAATTTATTTGAATATTCACAAAAGATGGACGTTCAAACGAATATATTTGAATATTCTTAATGTTAATGTAGTAATTTATTGAAAAAAATTAAGATTGAAACATAAAATAGAAAATTATAATGAATGTAAAATATGTAAACTATAGAAAATAAAATAAAACTCCAAAATTACACTAATGAAGCAAAAGTACATAAATTTTTTGACTTTATTATTTACAAAAAAAAAAAATTAAAAGATGGTACATGTCAATTGTTGTGAAACTTGTACATAGAACAACATTGTCCAATCCTCTTTTCAAAATCAAAGAAAAATAAAAAAAATCTTTGATTTCCACGTTTCCACATGCAATACATGATTCAGTGTTGATTTCTTTCATTTCTGTTTGACAAAACAATAATCGATTTTTGGATAATGATAAATATATAAGTCAATTAAATTAAAAAACTAAATACAAACTTTTACATAAAAAAATAAATAAATGAAATTACAAAAATTATATGCAAACCGTAACATTGTAGCACATAGGACATAAGTTGGATTCGTAAACAACATGTGCAAGAAATACATAAAGAAAAAGTATTAGCATAGTTATGCAGTTAAATAAAAATATTAAACGGATTTAAACCATCTAAATTAAATTATAATACGATAAATGCATGAAATCAATTGAAAAAAAATTACAAAATAAAACCAAAAGGAGAAAACGAAAAACGAAAAACAAAAACAACTCAAATGGAATGGGTGAAGAAGAATAGTGTAGGGTGAAATAAATAGATGGGGGTTTATATAGTTTTGATAAGTATATAGTAATTAGGAAATTTTTTGAATTCAAATTTTAAATTCCAAATCACATGATTATAGGTGGGAATAAAAAGGTTAGAAATCAAATCAATTCAATTCGGATGATTTGATTTCTATTGGTTAGGAATTAATTTTAAAATATTAAACAATATTGATGGTTATTAAATATTTTCATTAAACTAACAATATCAATAAATATAATCATCTTAAATAGGTAAGAAATCAAATTTCATATCATAAAATGTATATATTCTGATTTTAGAAAAATTTAAAATAAATAAAACATACATGTTTCTTTTTGGGTCCTTTTTTTTGTATTTTAATAATAAAATTATAAATTCATAATATATTATTAATATGTTATTTTGAAATCGAATTTTAATACATTATTAAACAATATTAGTATATTTTTTAATATTTTTTTTATTGAATGGATATTCGAATATTCCAGAATATTGGAAAAAAAACTGTATTTCTTTATTTTAATATTTGAATATTAAAAAAATGTTTTTTTTTTCTGAAAATTATTTGAATATTCGTAAAAAAATTGAGTGTACTGAATTTTTTTTAAAAAGACTACCAAGAAATATATTTTGAAATACTGGAAATGTAAATAAGATTTTTTTATTTCGAATTTATAAAATATTAATTTTGGAAATAATATATATACACGTGGTAATTGTTAAAATGAGTGTATAAATGTTAAATAGGAAATAACTTAAATACATACCATAATAAAATTGACAACTCACCAATTGAAGAATCCACCTCATCAATTGAACTCCAACTAAGCAATTTTGACAAATGACATCATCATTTGCCACATGTCAATCATTGAGGGCATAGATCCTCTTTTTATATTATATATAGATTAAAAAATATCATGGATTGTGAATGATGAGGTCCAAACAAGATAACAAAATAGCTTCTTTTATTTAAAATTTCCCTTATTACTTTTTTTTGTTTCAAATATTGAAATTCTTATTTATTTTGACAACAAAATACATTGCATTACTCTAATAAAAATTTAAAAAAAATCAGAGGAATCAAAATCAAATTTAATTAGTAGTAATAGTAAAATTCCAATAAAAATAATATAACATTGCAGTTAGCATATCTAAACAGTAGCAGTAAACAGTGTAATGTCTTACAATCAGAACAAAAACATGTTAATATTACAAACAAGAACCAAATAAATAAACTGGAACATCAAATTAAACCAGCAAAAACATTACAAAAATAAACAAAAAAAAGATTCAAGCACGCCTTTTGCTCAACCGCCACGAATTAGGCTCGTGATATCGGTCATACAAGGGCTCAATCCGCTCTTGCCTCTTTCGTTTACTCATCTTTGTGGGGTCCGACACTTTGAAGAAACGTGGTGCCAGCTCAACGAGCCACTTGGGGTCTATAACCGTAACTTCACGCATATACTCTTTAGTTGTCATAACCAGCTCGTGGTAAATAACCCAATCGGGTTGTCTTTGGAACAGAGCACTGCTCGGGTGTATGTAAACTGGCTGGTTCTCGACTATTGTTCTGTATCCTTCTTGTGGGTCCTTTCTTGCAGAATGGAAAAAGAAGCCCGCAGCTATTGCTTTACGAATCTTCGAAAAATTCTTGCCAGCACTAACGACATCCAATTTGTACCTGTTGAGACGGGCACGAGTTAGAAATGTGTAAAGATTAATTTTTTTTACTCGCGTATTTATATCAACTAGAAAAACTCAGAATCTTGAAAACCATCGTATTTGAATAATCAGAAACCCAAAAAGTGAGATAGACTAACTATTTGGCATAAGACGGTTAAGCCTAACGCGTAAATCTTATAGCTAGTCATATTTCACAGAAAAATTGTCCAAAGAAGTCTGTTACTTTACATCATTACACGAAATCTACTTCAGATGCGTAGTAATTCAATAAGAGGTGAAATCTTCAAGGAGCACTACTTCACCAACAGAAACCCCAGCAAAGAACCATCAATTGTAAGATATTTAACATTTCATCGCTATGCATGTTTATATAAACAAAGAATCATTCAGAAACAGAATATGGGCATAGAAAAAACAAGGAATGGAATTACGTACTTGTCCATGATGGATAGAAGTTGCTTCCTTACATCCTGCGCTCTTCTCAACGATCGGGACTGAACAAAATTCTCAAAGCACCACGGACCTGAGAAATTTTTCGCTTTCCAAGCCTCGTAAACAGCAAGTAGAGTCAAATGGTCTCCTTCAGGCTGGAAAAACTTGGCCCTTTTCTGATCCGCCTGCGCTTGTTTCTCCCTTGGTCGGTAGAAGATATTTCCGGTTTGAATCATCGCAATAATTGTCAGAATCTCGTCACTGCATCCAAGATCTACACTTGCAAGAAGCATTTTCGAAAGTGGAGGATCCAATGGGAATTCAGCCATTTTCCTACCCAACTTAGTGAGAAGCCCCTCTTCATCCAGTGCTCCTAAACTGTACAGCTGTTCCATAGCAGAAAGAAGTGCCTGAGGCGATGGAGGGTCCATAAAATCAAAAGCCATTAGATTATTGATACCCATAGCTTTCAGATTAAGAGTAGTCATCCCTAGATTAATCCTCTGTATTTCCGGAATAGATGTCGGAGACATCTCATTGTGGAATGCACTCTCTGTATAGAGGCGATAGCACTTCCCTGGTCCTGTACGTCCAGCTCGCCCAGCCCTTTGTTTGGCCGATGCTTGTGATATTGGAGTTATCACCAAAGAATCGAGCCCTTGTTTAGGATTATACACATTCTGCTTTGCAAAACCAGGATCAATAACGTAGAATATTCCATCGATGGTCAAAGAAGCTTCAGCAATATTAGTAGCAACAACTACTTTTCTTTTTCCTGGAGGCGCAGGATCGAAAATCCTCGACTGCATCTCACTGGGCAAGGCACTGTACACAGGCAAGATAATCAGCTCAGGCACACTTTTATCTAAACCCTTCATCCTCTCGTATAAGCACTGACATGCGTAATCAATCTCTTCTTGGCCGGTCAAAAAGAGAAGAATATCTCCCTCGGGTTCAGTCAAGTGAATCTGCAACACGGTGATCAGAGATGCATCGAGATAGTCACTCTCGGGCTGCTTCGTGTAGAGTATTTCCACAGGAAAAGTTCTTCCCGGAATCGTGAAGATGTTGCAGTTGAAAAAATAACCCGAAAACTTCTCTGCATCCAAAGTTGCGGACGTGACAATCAGACGAAGGTCAGGTCTCCGCTTCACGAGCTGCTTCAACAATCCGAAGAGTACATCCGTGTGAATAGTCCTCTCGTGAGCTTCGTCGAGCATTATCACCGAATACTGAGACAAATCTTCGTCGATCAGAATCTCCCTCAGAAGCATTCCATCTGTCATGTACTTGATCACAGTCTCCGGACTAGTGCAATCCTCGAAACGAATTGCATATCCCACTTCTTCGCCTAAACGACAACCGAATTCTTCAGCAACTCTCTTTGCAACAGACATTGCAGCCACCCTACGAGGCTGCGTACATCCTATTTTGCCCCTAGTAGTGTACCCTGCCTCGGCCAGATACTGTGTCACCTGTGTAGTTTTGCCTGACCCCGTTTCACCAATCACAACCAGGACCTGATTATCGTGACAGGCCTGAACAAGTTCCTTCTTCAACTTGTAGATGGGCAGACTTTGCCTCTGTTCCTGAAGTGAAAGCTTCGATCTTTGTCCAAAAGTTAGCGCTTTACCATACGCATCTTTCTTCCACTCCGGCATGTCGTACGCGGACAACCCAACACCTCTCAATTCCTGAGCTAGATGCCTTTCACCTGTTTCTGGCATTGGATCTTCCCAAGGACGATTCAGATCCTTTGGAATCGAATCCAGCATTGTCCGTTGCTGTTGTTCCCTAACTTCCCTCCTCTCCTTTATCAAAGCCGATTGCAGAGCTGCTGCACGGCTCAAAGATCCCTCTGGATTCTTGAATATCTTCACGGGTGACATGTCAATAGAATACCTAGTTTGCCCCTGCAAGAAAGCAGGTTCATCCTCATTTAACTCAACTTCGAGCTCCTCTTCCGCTCCTTCCTCCTGATAAAGCATGCCATCTCCATCTTCATCAAACATAGGATAATCCTTTACACTCATAACTCCAGAAGCTATCAACTGCTTCGCCTCCCATATCTCGGGCGAGCTCATTCGCTTTAGCGGCCTTCGTGAAGGCACAGCATCGCTTTCCTCTGTGATCCTAATTCCCGACAGACCAATCCTACTCCCCATCCCTCCACCATCATTCCTACCCGAAGGATTCGCAGTCAAACCATCATCCCCATCACCCCTCTTCAAGGGCAACAAATCCTTCCCACTGTTCTGATCCACATCCCTCATCGATAAACTCAAATTACTCCCACTCATGGAGATGACCTTCACGTACACCTCCTGGTCCCGCTTCACTACATCCTTAGCATTCGAAATCCTCCTAGTCGCCATCTGAGAGACATGCACAAGCCCCTCTTTCCCTCTAAAATCATTAAACTGAACAAAACAACCCTTGTCCATAACCCTCGAAACCCTTCCCTTGTAGATTTGGTACAATTCCGGTTCCCCAGAAACATTACTTTTCTCCTTCCTCTTTCCTTTCCTCTCATCATCTCTCTCTTCCTCGTATCCATTCCTCCAATCCTCCCCCCTGTCACCATGTTTTCTCCTATCTCTATCATCACTATAACCACCATCTCTATCGTTGTTTCTGCCCCGTTCCTCCCTATCCCTGTTTCGAACCCTTTCCTCTCTCTCCCCATATCTCTCTCTTCCCCTGTCATCTCTATCTCTATCCCTTCTCCCATCTCTACGGTCACCATCCCTAACCCTAACTCTATCCCTGATCTGTTCCCCATCGTCGTCTTTCTCCAACCGCCTCCGGTTTTTGGCTTCCTCTTCAATCTCCCTCTCCAATTCCTTCACCCTCTCCTTCCCATCCTTGATCGAAAGAGCGGCGGAACTTTCTCCCTCCTTCTTCGACCCCTTGTCGGATTTCGGCTTCGGCTTGGGCGGCAATATTGCGTGGATAATCGTGAGCAGCGTCCGTACGAAATAATCCGGCATCTCAGCTCCGTTCTCCTTCAATTTAGCATCGAACTCATCAACGGTTTCGCAATTCTGACCCATATCCGTGATGAACTCGGCCAAAGTTTTGTTGCCACATCCGAGATGGTTTTCTAACTCGGAACACACTTTGGAAACAAGAGAGAGATACTCTAGTTTCTTCAGCCCATCGGTTTCGATTTCTGCCCCCATCTTTTACAGGAAAAAAACGCAGAAACACCTGTGGATTTATAAAAACCTCAATAATTCTTTGTGTGTGTACTTGCTATGGATACAGAAAATACCTGTAGGAATTGGCGATTTAGGGTTTTGGTTGAGCGAGCAGTAAATTTGGGTTGGGGGCTTCTGCTCGAAGGGGGTGAAATCAAATCGAAGTATACCTGGGTGTGGATACGGCGTCGTATATAAAAACGAATTAAGGTAGGACAATCCTAATCTAACTCTAATGGAATTTTGTAAATGTCTTTTTTTTTGTTTTTGTTTTGGGTCTATTAGTGAAAACCCCCTCTAGTGTTTTTTTAATAAGAGTGGATCCACTCACATTTTTCATATTAGTACTAGATCCACTATTTTCTTTATACCCCTTATACCCCTCTGAAGGCACGCATCGATTAAGAAAAAGTGCATCTCAAATCTCACATGACAAAGCACTGCTATAATCACTCACCCAAATCCCCCATTTCTCGCACCCACCTTCCTTCTCAACTGCCACTACCAAAACAAAATCTCAAAACCTCTGAATTCAACTACGTCGGCGACCATTGTAGGCCAGAATAATAAATCGACGAAGCTTCCAATCAACGATGAGAGTCGCCGTGTTCTCGTATCTACGTCGGCAGCGAACGACTACAAGAAGAACTATTTTTGTGCTATTTTTTATCAGTATGGTCGGCTCATACAAATAGTCATGTTTAAAACCTACTACATCTTTTTCAAAAAACCAACCCTAACTTTTTTTGTGTGTGTGTTTTTGTTGTACAGGGGAACGACAGATGAAAACGACGAAATTTTTTTGACTCCTGGACACAGGTTAATAAATCTAAAATATTTTTAAATTATTTAGTTGAATTTGATAATTACAATTCTAGTTGTATTATTTGTTATTTATAATATGAAGTATGTTTTGTTACACAAATGGGTTTGAAAAACCTGCTGCACAAGTTGTGTGAAGTTTGTGGTTTCTAGTTAATATTTTTTTATAGTTGATTACAAAGACAAGTTTGAATAGGATGTGATTGGGAACGATATTGGAACTTTATTTTTAAGAAAATAGTAGTTTATGAATAATAGTTGTTTAAAGTATTTGTTGTCGTTAAATTTGTATCCTAATGTTGACCATATGTTGGCACTATCTGATTTCTAATACTTATGTTGATTGAAGAACTAATAGTAGATTTAAAAAAATAATAGTCGATTTCATAACAGTTGATTTACATGAAAAGTTGCTTATCATCTTAGTTGATTGTATGTTTGGAAAATTCCTTGCATTTTATTTTAAAAACAAAAAATGTGGTAAAAAATAGTTCATAAAAGTAGTTGGTAATTGTGTTCTTTGCATGTTTGACAGGAATTGCATTTTTTGTTTGCATTACGTAATTAATTATGCCAAGAAAAAAACTGCAAATTAGTTGTTTACATAATGTTGATCTATATTGTTCGAACACATGGCATGAAAAAGATTTGTCCTCAACCTCGACCTCACTGAAGAAGATCAAGAGAAAAATAGTCAGTGATGTGCCATAGCAAAAAATAGTGTTAATTGTGGCGTTGTTGTTTTGTATTGCATAAAGGACATATTCGACCATCAGTCAACGTAAGAGGATGCCGAAAAAGAGTATCTCAAAGTATGCAAGGAGGTTGTGCATACTTTACTAGAATGGGGGAAGGATAAATATTACAATGCTAAAGAAAATAGTGAATGCTTATTTTGTTCAATAATTTTGATACTAAATAGGATTTTCATTGTAACGCATATTTGATGTGCATTTTCTTTTACTTAATGTTCGAACATGCTTAGTGATTTTGTACTTTATGAACATCAAGTAGTATGACTGTCATTTCAACTACAAACAACATGCCATTTTCAACTCAACTAGTATTTCACCCGTGCGTTGCACGGAGGTGAGTTTCAAAATAAGAAAAATAAACTTATGTAAACGACTATCTCTTTATAACAATACCAATTCAAGTAAAACAAAATGGAAGGAAATAAAAAACATAAACTGTATCTCTTAATTTAGAGTTGTAACATATGAAATTAAGTTAAATATTACAGATAAGAAAACATGAGCCGCGCAAAACACGATATCAAGATTAAGTGAAATAATTTAAAACATATGGTATAACTCTATTTCTTGGATTGCAATCTACTACACCATGTGAGTCTTCTACAAAAATAACTAAGGTAACAACAAACACGGTAGCAGAGAAGTAAAACAATAGATATTCAAATAACCTGCAAGTTTATCACTAATGGCGTTCAATTAGTGATGCACATTACTCAAACAACAATAAAACTTGTAAATATTGCAAAAGAGATATGATGTATACGCCACTACCAGTATTGATACCAATGTTAATATCAATACCGATACCAATACTAATACAAATATTGTTACCAAAGTGATACTGATTCGATTAATACTGGTACTCATACTAATACTAATATTAATACTAATATTAATACTAATATTAATACTAATATTAATACTACTATTAATACTAATAGTGATACTAATATTGATATTGTTACTAATACTGGTACTACTACTAATACTAATACTAATACTAATACTAATACTAATACTAATACTAATATTAATACTAATACTGATTCTAATAATGATACTAATACAAATATTAATAGTAATACTGATACTAATAATAATATTGATACTAATACTAATACACATACTCGTACCAATACTAATACTAATATTGATATTGATAATAATGCTAATACTAATTAAGAATAAGACTAATATTGATACTAATACTAATAATAATATTGATACTTACAGTGATAATTATAGTGATATTGATACTAATATTAATACTAATACTAATACTAATACTAATACTAATACTAATACTAATACTAATACTAATATTAATACTAATACTAATACTAATACTAATACTAATACTAATACTAATACTAATACTAATACTAATACTAATACTAATACTAATGTTAATACTAATAGTGATAGTAATACTAATACTAATACTAATACTAATACTAATACTAATACTAATACTAATACTAATACTAATACTAATACTAATAAAAATATTAATACTAATACTGATACTAATACTAATACTCATACTCGTACCAATACTAATACTAATACTAATAATAAAACTAATACTAATACTAATATTCATATTGATACTAATAATAATATTGATACTTACATTGATAATTATAGTTATATTGATACTAAAACTAATATTAATACTAATACTGATACTAATAATAATAATAATATACTGATATTAATACTAATACTAATTCTCATACTAATACTCATACCCATACTCATACCAATACTAATACTAATACTAAGAATAATACTAATATTAATATTAATACTGATAATAATACTGATACTTATATTGATAATGATAGTTATATTGATACTAATACTAATACTAAGAATAAGACAACTACTGATATCAATACTAATAATAATACTGATACTTATAGTGATACTAATAGTGATAATGATACTAATATTAATACTAATATTAATACTAATACTAATACTATGACTAATACTGTTACTAATAACAATAATAATTCTGATACTGATACCAATACTTGTAGCACCCCCCTCGGGTCGGGCGATAAATCGAACCGGTTTATCGGAAAACTTTAGATAGCGGAAGCAAAAAGGGATCTCTTTGTAAATTTTAAAACTTTCGAGTAGGTCCATAAGGTAATTTCTAAAAATATCCTTTTGGGTCATTTGAAAACTTTTGAAAAACCTTGGGAATTTCTAAAACTCCTTAGGGTGATTTTGGTTGTTTAAAATCTTTCGTTTAGAAATATCTTTGGAAAGTGAGATTATTATTCGAGTGCTACATTTATCTAACTATGGTTTCACTTTTTGGTTCGAAAAGAAATCAGAGTTTCGGTCCCACCATGAAATTCGGAGGGGTTCATTTTGAGAAATCGTTCGTAAATGGCATGAGGTGCTGCTTGAGGAGGAGGCGGAGGAGGTTGGTTTCGTCGAAGAAGTTGGTCAATTTGTCTTTGGTGGTTTTGGGTTTGTTCTCGAATAAGGTTCGAGAGGTTATGAATGGTTTGGTTAAGGTCGGTTGGTTCGTTAGTGGGAGTGCCTTGAGAATTCTGGGTCAGTCGTCTTGCCATAATTTCTATAACCTATTATGCAATTTATAATTAAAGCACATAAATAAATAAAACACATAATACACGTAACATTACCGAATGGACGAGTCATCGTGTCTCGTAAGTCTTTAAGCCTGGCTTTTGGTTCGTACGAGTTTTCTATAAACAATGCTCTGATACCACCGTTGTAGCACCCCCCTCGGGTCGGGCGATAAATCGAACCGGTTTATCGGAAAACTTTAGATAGCGGAAGCAAAAAGGGATCTCTTTGTAAATTTTAAAACTTTCGAGTAGGTCCAAAAGGTAATTTCTAAAAATATCCTTTTGGGTCATTTGAAAACTTTTGAAAAACCTTGGGAATTTCTAAAACTCCTTAGGGTGATTTTGGTTGTTTAAAATCTTTCGTTTAGAAATATCTTTGGAAAGGGAGATTATTATTCGAGTGCTACATTTATCTAACTATGGTTTCACTTTTGGTTCGAAAAGAAATCAGAGTTTAAAGCTATTTGGTGAATGGGGATTTTCGGGTAAGAAATGCAATTATCAAAAGAAGCGGACCAACTATATTAATATCAAAATAAGGCCCGTACTAGGGTAAGAGTTTAATTCCCCTAACGAGGAAATATTAGAGTTTAAAGAAAACGGAAATACGGAAATTATCTATAGTTTACATCACCAAAATGAAATAAGCATAATTTATAGACCCCTCGTACGACCCTCCAAAAACCTCCGGCCAAGACTCCGATCCACTACTTGGTCCATTCCGTTGAGGGATTCCTACTACTACCTGCAATCAAAGAAGTATCTATATGAGCTATTAAGCCCAGTAAGAAATCCGAATGGATAACGAGGTTTTAAAATATGGTTTTACGTACTTATATTAGTATATACACATAAGCATCACACCTTACCATTCGTTGACAACGAACACACACAACCACGTAATTTCATTTAAACACGTAAATCACATAAATCGACTCAATTGCTGAAAATCACCAAATTACCCTTTTCGTGCAAATGCATGAA